CCGCCTCCACATCCCAGTTTCTCATCAAGCTCCGCCTCCACATCCCAGTTTCTCATCAAGCTCCGCCTCCACATCCCAGTTTCTCATCAAGCTCCACCTCCACCTCCCAGATTCTCATTAAGCTCCGCCTCCACATCCTAGCTCCTCATCAAGCTCCACCTCCACACATCCTAGCTTCTCATCTAGCTCCGCCTCCACATCCCAGCTTCTCATAAAGCCCCACCTCCACATCCCAGCTTCTCATAAAGCTCCACCTCCACATTCCAACTTCTTATTTAACTTCAACTCATTTTACCAACTTCTCATCAAGCTCCGCCTCCTTGTCCCAGCTTCTCATCCAGTTCCACCTACACGTCCCAGCTTCTCCTTTACCTTCTTGTACCTCACTTCTCATCCAGTTCTGTTTCCACATCCTCCTTTCTCATCTAGCTTTCCTTCCATGCCCTTACGTCTCATCTGGCTCTACCTCTTTGTTCTTGCTTCTCATCTAGCTCTGCCTCCATGTCTCATCTTTTCTTTTAACTTCATCTCCTTGTACCTTGCTTTTCATCCATCTCTACTTCCAAATCCTTGCTTCTCATCCTGCTCCACCTTGTCCTTCCAGCTTCTTATTTAACTTCAACTCCTAGTACCAGATTCTCAAGCTCCGCCTTCACATCCCAGCTTCTCATCCAGCTCCGCCTCCCACGWCCCAGCTTCTCATCCAACTTCCCCTCCACATTCCTCATTCTTGCTCTTACCCCCCTTTATTGTATACATTCTCATGTCCACTCTCATTATCTGTCATCTGTACCCATTCTCATCCCAACTATCTTCATCCTTTGTCCCTTCCTCTTCTCATCTTTCTCAAAATGTAACAAATGTAGGAATCCTGGGTTCATATATCTGCAGTGAGCTACTTTAGTTTATCCAAAACAGCAAACCTGCAACACATTCTTGGCGTTTGTTTTCCCCATACGCAAAGTTAGTGTTTGAGAGCCGCATTTGTTTGTAATGTCCAAATATTGATTTTTGTTTTWCTTGATACTAAACATGAACCAGGTTTGTGCTAAAACTGATGAAGAAAGCTGGAGAGACTAAGACTTGATTTATCTGAGCTGGGATCTATTTAAGCGCTCAACCGCCGCTACTTTTCCTGCTTCCGAGTTAAATCTGTAGCACGCTCACGGAGCAGTTTGTTCCTGAAATCTGATAGTGCCACTGTTTGTGGCTTCCCAGTAATGAAGTGACTCAGGGATCCTGGGTGTCCTGGAAATAAGAACTCATTGATGACGGAGTTACAGCTGAGGAATCACATCAAACAGCTGGTGTTTAAAATGTGTACATGCATCATAGATGTTTCTCGATTGTTTTTGGGTTTTAATAAGCAAAAARCATGGAGACGACCCCCTCGGTGTAGCCCCCCCGCAGGCAGGAAAGCTTGAATTACAAACATCCCATCATCAGCACTTCGTTTATTTGACATCACAGATGATGTAAACACAAAAAGCTTTGGTAAAGTCTTTAAAACAAGCAGCAGAGATTTTCCTTCTTCAATAAAATAATCAGTTCTTGACATTTCCTTTCAATGACATGAATCTTGCTCATTTCTTTATCAGAACAGAGGTCACACACACAAAATGCACACACACACTCCCACACCTGGTTTCTCTGAGCTGTTAGTGAATGATAATTATCCCCAGAGTGTTTTAATATCCTGCCTCAAAGGGTTTTAGTCCAAAATGCAGAAATACCACTAATGTTTAATGAAATCATGTCTCTGGGGTTCTCCTACACTTTCATTCAGAGTGATCGCTTCATTTTTAAGCTCTGTTGATGTGCCTCCTCGTGTTCGTACGCTTGGCTTAAACCAAAAATACAAGTCCAAAACTTCCTGTCTGAGCAAGTCATTTGTTGCATTTCAGGAATTCTCTTACCCAGGAGTTGTTTTATAATTGTGCCACTGAGAAGACTGAAAAATGAGGTCTGGATGCCCAGAATTCTCAAGAAGCKAATTAAACAGCTTCTCCTGAAATGCCAAGAGAAAGTTGCAAGACCTTGGCCGACCCGTTCGTGGAGGGGGTCTGCGGTCCCGAGGTCCGCCTCGCTGAAAGGCACCAGGCTTTCAGCAGACCTTTCCTCTGAGCTCGTTTTTTACCGCCGGCACACGACGGCGAGGTCGACAGTGTCCCGCAGCAAGCCCACGGAGACGCAGCGGGCCGGTTSCTGACGGTGGTAACGGGCGCGTTGGATGCTGGGCCCAGACCGGAGGAGTGGGAGCCGACGGGTCCCTGTTTGGCGGCGGGAGTCCCGGCTCTCAGGCAGCGCCCTCGCAGCATGTTGTGGAAGGCCTTTTTGAACTCCTGACTGAAGCACGGGTAGATAATGGGGTTGATGCAGCTGTTGAGGTAACCCAGCCAGAAGGTTATCTTAAAGATGGTTTCAGACGGTTTGTAGGACGGAAAAATAGACCCTGAACATGGAAACAGACAAAAATTAACTAGAGAAGTGAAATAACAATAGTTAAACATTTAACTAATATTGCACTGTTTATCTGCTTTAAAAAGTGGAACTGGTCTGAATTGATTCCTCCTTACTGTAACTCCACAAGCCCCGCCCCTTTTCTGAGGCGTGTCTCAGATTAACTCGTTTTAAGGTTGCCTCTTTAAATCCAAATGAGGTGCTTCACCGAGTGGTCCATTCCAGCTTGATAGMGGGGTTTACCATTATAGCGGCAAAGAAAATTTTTATTCACAAATTAATTAAAATACGTCATCAACTGAAGACTTGAAGGTCACCAAATTTTTGTTTTGTGGCAAWTAATTTGATGTAATAATTCCGAAAACGTCCTAGAAAATAGAGAAATTAATGAAAAATATAAAATCATCCACGCAGCACTGGGAGAAACTAAATTCACATTTTCTGCACTCCAATAATCTCCAAGTACACAAAAAATGCATTTAACAGCTAAAAAAGTGGATTTTTTTCATGATATGTCCCCTTTAAAAGGTGTGTGATCATGTTATTTCCTGTGCCTGTTAGTAAAATATCTCATCAGCCACTCAACAGACTTCAATGAACCACTGCATGGATGTTTGCAACTGGTTAACTTTTAGATACAACCCAATTCAAGATGGCTGRCACGGTTTATTGATGCTGTTTTTAAACGGTGAAACCTCAAAAATTCAAACGGATTAAATGTATCCCTGAAAAAAGGCAACATTAGGAGGTCTTTTTTTCTGTTTTGTGGTGCAAAGAGAATCAGTGAAGTTATTTTACATCAAGCAGATTATCTTTTCTGACAAAAACATACTACTTGTCATCCTTCATAGAAGGCGACCTGTTACGGTCAAATGTTTTTATTGCTATAGTTACAGTGTGGGGCAACTCCTACARTGGTTTACYGCAMCTTGTATTCCTAGGCAGTCTCCCATCCAAGTACRAACCAAGCCCAACCCTGCTTACCCAATATACCCATCCAAGTACCAACCAAGCCCAACCCTGCTTACCCAATATACATCGTTTGTTCCAAGAGCAATGCCTACCGACAGCATTATCTGTTTCTTGGATAAAGTTATCTGGTTTTATAAGCTTAGTAAAAGCCCTGGAGAATTGTTGCTGCGTAACAGGTTGATTAACAAGTGCTTTAGCAAAAAACAGGCCAAGAATTTTAGTCGTAAAAGAAAATTTCTTGGGTATTTCAAAAGGTTTAAAAATCTTGACCTCTCATCTCCTCGTGTCTGATTGAGCTGTGAGCCGTGAAGCTCTGCCTCTATTGAAATGCACAACTATCCCTCTGACTGTCTGCCTTGGGAGTCTGCGGTGACTCTGGATGCCTCCTGGCATTACAGTCCATTAAGCTTCATGCTTGTTATCTATAATAGCTTTCGTACGAGGGAGCAATGGTTTGGCTCATTCCACAGTGGAGGCCCATTCMGCAGTTTTGTTTGTTCTATTTGGTTGCTTGTAATTGAATTTTTCATGTCCTTGCAGAGACACTGTGAGTCAAATGTGTCGAGGAGGAAAGTCCGGCTGGACGTTCGCAGAGCAAAACATTTTAATTACCAGCGTTGTGCAATGATTCAGGCCTCAGTAAAACRAGCCTTAGTGAAAAAATAAACCGTATTCATACCTGCATAAATGTTTCTCTGCATGCGTGCATTCAGGTATTTATTGCAGACTCTAGGGGGCTCTTGTTTTTTATTTGCATGTGAAGGCTGCTGCACACAAGATTTTCTAATCTACGTTTACACCTTCTACCACTTATCCATAGTCACGTTGCAAAGACAAGAGGTCCAGGAGAGATATCCAGACCTCCTTCTCCCGTACGATACTCTCCAGGTCCTTTGGGAACCCAAAATGTTCCCAGGCCTGAGAGGATATATTATCCCTCCAGTGCATTCTGGGTCTGCATGAAAAATCTCTGAAGGGAGGTGACTAAGATGCATCCTGATCAGATGACCCTAACCACCTCAWCTGACTTCTTTTGATGCAGAGGTGTATGGGGCAATATGAGGGCCAAAATTAAGACTATTGGTACTGTAATTATTATTCTTATTTTTGACATTGATCTATGTTTATTTTTGTTGTTACTATCTTTAATTCTATTATTTTTTTGCTGCTATTAATGTTGTCACATGGCAGCGTACTGTTTTGTGGATTGATGTGTGTACATGCTGCTGCTACTGCACCTGAATTTCCCCACAACAAAAAAGGCTGTTTCTATTCTATTCTATTCTATTCTATTCTATTCTATTCTATTCTATTCTATTCTATTCTATTCTATTCTATTCTTTCTTTCTTTCTTTCTTTGTTTATTTATTTTCAATAATCTTTGGTCAACCGTAGCACGGAAACGACTGCACTGATCAGCATGAAATTTGGCAGAACTGTAGATGTGTCCGACCTACACTGCACCACCCAACGGTTTTACAATTATACCATATCTGAGGAGGGTCTCCATCTAAAAAGGGGGTGTCTGGACATACAAAAATGTTTATAATTCAAAAACTATTCAACATAGCAGCTTCAGATTTTTTTGTTGTTTAGCTCTGATGAAGGGCTATCCATCAGGCCCARCAAAGACCTCCCCACTGCCACCACCACTGGACCCCCAACGAAAACAATAAATCTGTTCTGGTGAGTTCTGGTGCATTGGTGCTTTGTTATGTATGCTAGTTCATTTTGGTGTTTGCCTATGTCCGTTAGCTGAGGCAGCCATCTTGAATTGGTTTTGCTTAAACTCTTTGGGTATACCTTATTGCAAGAATATTCTGAATGATTCTCTTCTAATCCAGGGGTTGACGGTGTTTGGTGCAATTGGAAGCAGCTCCTTCTAAACTAAACTGAAAAGTAGACAGAGTCAGGTTTTGGTGCAGAGGTGTCAGGAGGTACCTACCGATGGGTAAAACCAGAAAAAACGGGAGCCAGCACAAAACAAAGCAGCCGACCACGATGCCCAGAGTCTTGGCMGCTTTTTCCTCTCCGGAGAACTTCAGCATCTTTGGCAGGTGGAAGGAGGGCCGTTTGTTCATGGCGTTCTCCTCGCCCTCGTGTTTCTCTGCCTGAGCAGAGTTCCCTCTGTGTATCCTCAGCATCACGCCCTCCATCTCCACCTCCTCGCCTTTGCTGCTCTCCCGCAGGGTCTTGGTCTCCTTCCTCACCACGGTGTAGACGCGGCAGTACATGGCCAGGATGATGACCAGGGGGATGTAGAACGACCCCAAAGCTGAGAACAAAGCGTAGCCCGGCTCTTCTGTGATCCGACACACCGTCTCATCTTCCGGGTCAGGCTCCTTCCATCCAAACAAAGGGCCCACGGATATGGCTGCTGAGACTCCCCAGAGAGCAGCCACGGCGGTCAGGCCTCGCCGCCCGGTCGCTATGGCRGGATACCTCAGAGGGTAGCTGACAGCCAGGTAGCGGTCGATGGAAATCACACACAGGCTGAGGATGGAGGCGGTGCAGCAGAGGACGTCCAGGGCGGCCCAGACGCTGCAGAAGTCACGCCCGAACACCCACTTGCCCAGAGCTTCGGAGGTGGCGGAGAAGGGCAGGACGGCGAAGCTGAGCAGCAGGTCTGCGGCGGCCAAGTTGGCGATGAAGTAATGCGTCACGGAGCGCCACTGGCGATGGAAGACCACAGACAGGATGACCAGGATGTTGCCCAGGACTCCGAACACGATGAAAACCACCAGCACGAGCCCTAGAACCACCYCCTTGGTGACGTCGACCTCTGGTTGGGTGGAGGAGCTGCAGTTTGGGCAGAAATCTGCTGGAGACAACACGCTGATGTTCTCAGCTGGAACCATCGTAAACTCCTGGCTGAAGCTATTCATGAAGATCTACAACTCCCCCTGTTGTCTGCCCCATCCGGCGCAGAGAAGAAAACCCTTCCCAGCTGGATGAACTGCTTTTCCATTTCATTTTACAAATGCAGCAGCCTTTGCCAACAATCCATAGATCACGTTGTCCGGATTCCTTGGCTGAATGTCATGTTTTGACAGCGTGACACAGCAGCAATTWGTCATAGTGAGTCTGAAATACCTAATGAAAAAACATGATTTAATCATTGACAGATCCAAGATGTCATCTTTATTCACCCTGAAAGGTCTCGCAGCGATAAATCTGCAAAACAAGATAACAAAGAAAATATATTTAACAACAGCGCCGCAACGACAGGTTTTCATAAATCAGGCTCTCGACTCCTTAATTACGTTTTTTTCCCCTCAGCAGGAAAGAAACAAGAAAATTACAGAAACAAAATGACAGAACATTTTTACATCCGTCTCTGATTAAAAGGTAAAAATATCACTCAGCGATCTTCTCACTTCATTAGAGATGCTGCAGAGTAAACAAAGGGGTGAAATATGGAGCACTCGCAATTTCCTTTTCATCCACTAACAGTGTGACCTCTGCTAGCTGACACCCATAAAATACCTTAATATTATTCAGATTTAAAGGGGGGGCGGGTATGCAAAATTGAGTTCATGTTATAATGTCACTCCTCATCAGAAACATACCAGCGTGTTGTTTTGACTCGTTCATGCATGTTTGAGAAATCCTTCAATCTCCTGTGGTAGGCGCTGGAACAAAGCTCCGCCTATTTACACAAAGCTCCTCCCCGTAGCTCAGTCTTTAAGCCCCCTACTCCCCCGCAATTTTTGTCATGCAACTGCGACAATGAGAGCCGATTGCGTCAGTTCTGATGGAGCATAGCGGGCACTTTTTTTTAAGGTAAATTATTTTCACATCAGTCTAACGGATCCCCGATTCTTGAAGCCAATGTTGCTTTTTCTTCCTCCATTTACATGATAAAAATGACACATGACAAATGTTACACACGTATCAATTTAAACAAAAAAAGATCCATTTTTTAACAAAACAAACAAAACATAGTAACAGTGGATAGTAAAACAATGTAGAACATTTAAAGGCACAGTGTGTAGGATTTTGTCAATTTTTTTTAGCCAAAATTGAGATAATCACTAATGACAATAATAAAAAAACATGTCTAATCATTGCAGACAAAGACCTTGTTTTATTATTTTTACCTTATAAAAAGCTGTTTATATCTCCACGGTTGCGGGTCGCCAGTACAGACAGCTGCCATCTTGTCTACGAAGGCTCATGAAGGACAAACTGCGGCAGCGGCGTCAAAACTGGTTTTAGTTGTAATACTATAAATGTAATATTTGTTGTCTGTTATTGTAGCTGGGATAATTTTACTTATTAAAGCTCATAATCTTACCACTTGAAACATCACTAGCCCTGAAGCTGCTGGTAGACATCGCGGTTGGAATTATCAAAGGTTTTTGACACCTGAGAGACACCGTAGCAACTCCTTTGTGTTTGGAAGCAGGGGGTGGGGGTGGGGGGAGGACCAGGGAGGACGATTCAACCGCTCAACCACTAGATGTCGCTGAAAACAACAAATCCTACACACTGTGCCTTTAAATATGTAACAACAAAAACAAAGAATTGTTTTTATTGTATCAGATACATACATGAAAATAACATAAATACATACATATATGTCGTGATCTATGTCTGTGCTCATGATTTATTGTAGTTTTCTATCTTGTCCTCTGTTTTCTTCCTCCTTTCTGCCTTTTCTGCAGCCCCGCCCACTCACACCTGATCCTCCAGGTGTTTCCTGTTTGTGCTCATTAGTCTCACCTTCATATTCTGTGTTTTATCTGCACTTCCCTGTTGGATCATTGTTCTGTATTGTGCTCTATGTTCCAGCCTAAAGGTTTTCATGTCCTGTGTTTTGCCACGTCCAAGCCTTGTGAGTCTTTTGAGCTGCCCCGTCAGCACTTTTTCTTAACTTATACTTCGTTTTCTGGAGATGATGAGAAAACTACTCAAGTAAAATTGTTCACAAAAATTGGGAAAGTGAAAGTACTTTTACACAATCTCTTTTAAAATTAACTGCTGAATTTACTGAACCAAACTGGTTCCACTAAGCCAGGTTGAGTAAATTGAGCGATATATTTATACTCTTTGCTCAACTTACTCGACTAATCTTAGTGGAGCCAGTTGACACGACTGTTGAGTAAATTCAACGCTTCATTTTTTAGAGTGCAGAAACATCTTCTTTCACGATGAGCTCAAACATGTTTAATTTTGTAACGAGGTGTCAAATTTTAAAGTAAAAGTATCATTTTTAGCTTAAATTGTAACAAAATAAAAGTAAAAGTAGCTATTTAAAAATAATTTGTAAAATTGCAAATCCTCAAAAAAACCAGTTAAGAACTGTAACGACGTAAATATACTTAGTTACTATAAAACTCTTGAGTCACTTCTTGAATGGCTAATTTACACTTTTACTTGAGTAAAAATATGTTAAAGTAGTGCTACTCTTACTTGAGTACAATTTTTGGGTACTCTACCCGCCTCGTCRTATTTTCCTTTTCGTTCACTGTCACCTTTGTCTGTGCAACCTTGAAACAAGTTTTTATTAAAGTTTGACTTTAGTTTACCCTTTTTTATCTGCTCAGACTGATGTTCTGTAAGGAGGGCGGAGATGAGAAACATTAAGACGTCACAAAGAAACAGGAGGAGAGTAGAAATAACGATTCTCTCCGGGAGCCGAAAGAAAAATAATTTGTGGCATTATGGGAAATCCAGCCAACCGTGCTGCGAGGAGATAAATGAAAGCACAAATAATTATGTTTTTTAAGGGCAGACAGGCTTCCAGCGCAGACGATGGCTTCCTTGAAGSTCTCGAGTGTGTTTCTGGGTTTTAACTCATTCGTCAGATGACAGGCTGCGAACTGAAGCGTGAGGACGACACTATATAACCCCCAGAGAGGCGCTGATAGGCCCGCTCACCGCCTCCCTCTCTCTGAGTGTTTGAGATGTCAGTGAGCGAGATAAAAAGTCCCACTGAACCAAAACACACATAAACACTTAATGGTGGGCTTTCAGCACCYGTGGCCCGGAGGGGAAACAAAAATGCCGCACGCTGTGAACGAATATGTTGGGTCGCGGTGATGTTTGTGAAGCATGTTCAGCTGGAATGAGATTTCTCAGTGCGGTGAAGTGGCAAAAAAAAAAAAAAAAGATTTAAGGGCGGCCACAGCAACAAGTTTTCTCCTCCGTCCACAAGTGTCGGAGCATCGGTTCGCCGCTGCCAAAAGGGTCAAACGGGACATAAATTAACGCTGACCGGAGGTGAAATGAGAAATACAAGATGCAGCGCATTATTCRTACACTCTGCAGCACCGTCCAGGTTTGCCCTCAGTTCGTCATCGAGCTGCTGAGGCGACACATTTTGTGTTCTTGCGCTGTGTTCAGATCGCCCCGAGGCAAAAAACAACCTGATCTTTGAGAACTTTTCGCGACGACGTCATAACAGACAAGTAGAGTAATGCTGATGTTACAGATGCTTTCTGTCTTTAACTTGATTTATGCAAGGATCGAGACAAAATAAGAGGTTGAAGTCAGCTTGTTGCTGTTACACCTCTGAGCCATCAAGGCAGGCAGTCATAATGGTCGYCAGAGCTTGAAGAGGCGCTTGTCTTTAAGTTTACATCTTGGTTTTCATTGTAATTTTACTATTCTATTGTAATATTCTTTAGTACAAAAGAAAATTCTGAATGGTACCTTTTAAAAAATCAGGTGGGATGGTTTAATTCATAAAAGCTAATCCATAATCCAAAAGACACAAAGAACCTAAAGAGAGTTCCTACATCTTCTTGTTTTTTTTTGTTGGTCAGATCAGGTTTTGTGGCCAAAACGAACCAAATAATTAAGCATACTCTACAAAATTCTACATTTTTTCCATCATTAGTTTTTTTTTTTGCTTCCCAGGATTCAAACTTTAAATTAAAAAGTATTTTAAAGTGGTCTTGATCAGATTTTTTCAGGCTTTATGAAAGTCTTTCGAAAGTTTAATCTCATTTTCAGTCCAGTAACTGATTATTTTCAGAGAAATGTTTTTATTTTTGAACGGTACAGAATAAAATACCTTCTAAACTCAAGGGATGGACCTATAATAGACGACTCTGCACTAAAACCAGTTTAATTTGGATCCTTAGGGTGGATTCACACTTGACTCATTTGGTCCACTTTAAAWGGACCAGAGTTTGTTTCCCGTGTTGGTCCGGACCTTTCATGCAGGTGTGAATGCACCCCAATGCATCCCAAAATTAGAAGTTTATCATCATAAAACCAACGTTAAATGAGCTGCCCTTGAAAACGTAAACGCAAACTGCATCAAACATAATCTGCTTTTGGAGTGGACCAAAGGACTTTCCTGGTGTGAATACACCCTTAGGGTCTTGTCACCAGCAGCCTGTAACAAATATTTATCCATTTCTTTAGTTGAGTAAAAAACATTAAAAATAACAGTTTGTCAGGAAAAMCAAGATGATTTTCAGAGCTATTAGCTGAAAACCTAACAGATAATCAACTGAAGGTTGATGTTTCCTTTGATCAGTATAACCTTTCCATAGCATTCATCTATTGGAAACACTGCTTCTTTAGTTTTTTTTCCAACATTATTCTCATTTTTTTAAAGCGCACCTTGCCCTGTATGCTGTTGGGGTCAGATACAAGCAGCCAAAGTACAAAGAAAACCCTTGAGTGACCTTCAGGAAGCCCGAGGAACTGGTGATTATTCTGAAAATACACCAAAGTCTGGTTCTTTAGAAGCAACAGAAAAAGAAGAGTGGTTTTTCAAAACTTGTGCACAGCACTGCAAGTTGGGTGGTCATCATGATGTGACTGCTCTGTGAACCGCTCCACTTAGTTTCAGCCGTATGTTTTACCAGACGGGGCAGCGAGGTGACGGGGATGAAACGCTGAAGCGGTGTCCGATGTGTGAAATGACATTTGCAGTCCGGTCCACTCGTCGTTGTCCTCCCACCTTTTCCAGCTCCAATCTGCCACTTCTGTCTCATATTTTCTTTCTCCAGGAAAAAAAAAATATTAATACACTTGTTAGGACAGTCAATCATCTCAAATGTCAGTCCTGATTCATTTGATCATTTGAGACTTTCTRTTAGCTAAACATAGTTCCTACTTCTCCAATGTAAGGATTTGATTTTTCCTAAACAGAAATCTAAGCTTTTGATTTTTTTTTTTTTTTGCTACGGATATTCATTAGGCTGCAAATAATAAATTTAATGAGCACCTTAATGGCATTCTTTTGCACCGACCWGCCAGCCCCCGCAGGGACCGAGGCTGCACATCTTCCTCTACAGATAAGATTTGATTAAAAGCTATCAGCAAACAGTATAATTCTCCAATTTACATGAGTAATCCAGAGGCTTGTCTGCTCATGTTGTTGCATTAGTGGATGTAATGGGGAGACGTTCTGTCCTTGAAGCAACAGGACCAATAAAGATGCGAGTCGAARGAGAAGAATGTAGGCTTGAATTGATAAATGGGGTTTTTATTTGATAAAACAGAAAACTTTAGGGAACATTAGTCGACCTAATGTACCCTGACTGTAGTCAAATTTACCCAAAGTAGTAGTTTATTGTTTGAGGCAGCAGGTTTATTATAAAAGCAGCACATGAGCTGAATGTAGTTGAGTTTTATTGCCTACTGTGTGCAGACGTGGTAACGTTTACCCACATCTTTACGTGGTGAAGGTGCAGCAAAGCATGATGGGAAAAATCCAGTTAATGAGAACTAAAGCC